CCCCCCCCCCACCCACCCCCACCCACACCCACACCCCCACACCCACCACCACACCTACCCACACCCACACTCGCGACACGCGTTCATTGCCCGCTCGCAATGACATGGGAAGGGATATCAATTCGTTTCGATAAACAACAACCACTTTAAAAGAAATGATTTGTATAGATCTAGCAATAGTCGAACACGATGTCCACGAAAAAAGTGGCCAAGGTGATCGTCTTTTCTTTTACAAAAGTCATCCCAACCGAAGATGTCATTGTAGAAAAGTGAGAGTCCTAGATCAGTCGTATACATGGTTTTTAATCTCCTTAGAATATATTTTTTAACATAGAACTCTAAAGGTTGTTCTGAAGTGACAGTGTAAAGATTACGAGCAGAGATAAAAGAACAGTGATGCACCAGTCGAAGACCTACACGAAATTTTTGTTGCAATATCTGTTGGTGAGATTCTGTAAAATGGGGGAAAGTATAAGCGAAGAAACATTGACGAAGTGACTTAGAGGTCATATTTCGTCCGGATTTTAACCGCTTCAATTTTCCTAGGGATCTCTGGATGCTACCTATACACCTTTCTACTGTCGGTTTCAGTGATAGTTTATCAGTCCAAGTGAACCCTAGATATTTTAATTCTTTAACCAGTTCGAGTTTTTCTCCATTCATTATTATGTTCACTATCGGTCTTTTCACTTGCGTATGAAATAACTGTGCAACTGTTTTTGATATATTTACCGGTTGTTTCCTCTTTTCGAAATATGCATATATTTGATTACAGATTCGAGTACCTTCTTCCTATAGATACTGAATCATGGGAACTAAGCGCTTCATAATGGGAGGTCTAATGAGTACACTAACAGTCGTAAAGCAACATCTAGAGCTGGGGGTTGTTTTATTTTGTAGGGCTAGTCAATTTGTATCTATTCTGAAATTTTTATCATTATATGTCATCTCGATCAAAAATGGCACTTTTCTTAGTAGATATGAGGTAGGTCAACATCGTCATTTTAAGGAAAATGGCCTAAAATTAAAAATTGAATTTCTCAATGACGATTTGACCTATCAGGGTGCGCTTAGAAGTAAAAAACTCACTAGTTGTTATACTTTTGAAATATGTATTTGAAATCGAAATTTGAAAAAATTGATTGAGCAGTCTCCCAACTGGAAAGAAAATGGAAAAATCACTCTCAATATCAAACAATTATCAATTTTTGCGATTCTTTATTTGATTTTCGATCTTATGGATACTGTTTGTTAGTGGTGATATGTATACGATTACCGTAGTGTTGAGTACATTTCATTCTTACAAAGCATGGATGAAGTTGACGGACTATATATCCATATTCACATCGTTACTATCAATCAGAAACAAATCACAATTAAAAGCATTTAATAGAAGCACACGATTTGATCCATCAGACTATTAGCTATTTCAGCAAAGTCAATCGTAGCTATAGAATAACCGTAAAGGCAGAGACGTTCCAGATTAGATGCATAGAGAAGTAGTGAATTTAAGAATATACTATCAGGCCAATGGTCAGAAATTATAATTAGAGATTTGAGCTGATTGTTGAAAGATATGTATGATATCGAGATAAACGAGGTTGAGACATGTAATAAGAACAAGCAAAAACATCGGTAAGTTTGAATAACGAATGCTCATAGAGCGAAGAGTTAGTGGCATCGACCATGCAGTTGTTGGGTTGACTTCATGAGTCACAGTGTAGGTGTGTAGTAGAGGATGATTATTCGAAAAAAAAGTCAGATTAATACTATTCATCTCACCATTCATTAACTACAATCAGTCAATACACTGACTAAAAACCATGACAGTCCGATCAACAGTAAGTAGACAACGATTGAAGAACCATAAAATCGTATTGACTCGTCGATTAAGTGCAAAAAGAATGCTTTGTAAATGCGTCATACATTCAGATAATCCATCGCATCGATCGAAAGTTCATCTGGAAGATTTTCGAAACGTATATCAATTCAACCATTCGTTGATTTTCCTACTGTGTGAGAGCGATCGAATGATCGAAGACAAGTTTTTAGAAATTCTGTGATAATATCCAAAAAGGACATTGAGCAAGTGAATGGCATAATGATTTTACTTGTGGATCAATTTGATGACAATGCAGAAGAAATCTAAAAGACCATTGAGATGAAAAACAAGAGTACTATTCAATCTATAAAATGGTGTATCTGAAGCTAAAGGAAGAAAATCAAATGATAGTTCGATGAGGGTAAATTCAAGAATGAACACACCATAGTATCCGCTATAGTAGAGTGACAGAAAATCATTTCCAATTTTTCATCCAATATAGCCGATGATCAGTATTTGTACATAGTCGAATTTCGACCTAATGAGAACGAGACTTTGATTCTTATTTCAAAATGGTTGACAAAAAGATATTATATGCTTACGAACTGTAAGTGGATGAATCTGAAGATCAGAGAGATAGAGTATCACCTCCGGTTAGTTGTATTCCTTGTCACGATCTAAGATGCAAACCACTCTGTAACTAAGGTGTCTGGGAGGAAAGGAAAGAGTCCAAATTTTCCACTATAATAGAACCTCAACACTCTTTCACATCCTATTTCACAAAAAAAATGCCTGTGAAAGAAATGAGTGGATTGTAGTAAGAAGCTATTTTGCTTTCCGAACACAGCTGAAAGAATACAACCAAAATATATCATTCGATTTTTTTTCCATAGAAAGATGACGTCCACAATGTATCGCCACATAAGTGTACATTAAATAAAGCCGAGAATGTCAATATACGTGTCCCGTAACCAAAAGGTTAACCAGCTAGTACTAGCCACCTATGATATCGTACAATTAAAGCTGTAAACACATGTTTGATCTCAATGTGAAAACAAAAGTGATCATGATCCTCGAACTAATACGTGTTCCCATTTGGAGCTAAAAATGCTAGCCGAAAGAATGGAGAAAAATCTGTTCTGTTTTTCAATTATTTAATTAGTTTTCATATTTTTCTACACAAAATATATGGAATTGAGTAATGGAATATCTAACCGCTTAATTATCATTTAATAAACATGAAATTTCATGTTTTACAAAAATAATGCATGTCTGAATTCGTTCTTTTCCTATAACGAAAAAAAAAATTTCTATGAGAAAAACGTCGTCATATCAACGAATTATTCATTCATTGAAAATTTTCTAATCAATAGTAAATAAAAAGAATAGAGTTCAGAAAAATAACAATCTATCATCAAATCGTTCTTGTCGTTCTATTATCATAAATGTTTTCTATATGAGGTAAATTTGCACATTTATTTTGTTTTTCGTGCCATCGACAAACACTAGAATTATGTGCACAAGACAATGCTACGCAGACCATCGCCTATGATTTGTGTTATCTTGGCACAAATTTTTATGCGTTGTACATTTTAGTTGCCTTATTCATTCTTCACAAGTCATTTGAAGATAATAACTGTGCCAATAACTCATCCAAATAGTGCTCGCTCTCTTTATTCAAAAAAACTAATATGAGAACTGTCATCTATTATCAGCCATATAGATGAATGAACTATGTTAATAACAATTGTCACGTGCTCATTTTATCAACAATATATTCATTCCTTTTCTTCTCTCTTTGATGAGATACATGTGGCCAAGTGGGAGGAGAAGGGAAGGATATATTTCGTCGTAGTAGGGTGTGAAATAGTAACAAACGAAGATTATACTATAAGGATATTTTGTTACAATAATAATTTCACTCTTCGAGTTTGTCACACTATCTCATTCATTCATTCCCTGATAATCTTATATTCAGTAGTGAATAAAAGAATAGAATTTTAAAAAATGGCAGTCAGTCAACGAAATCGCTATTGTTAATCTATTATTACAAGTGCTTCAATTGTGATACACTCTATATATTTTGTAAAATTCGCGATCGTTATCAGCAACATGCATGATATTCACCCTATTACCAAAGAATGTATACATCATATTTTCTTTACATATAAGGCAAATTTGCACGTTTATTTAATTATTTTTTCGTATCATCGATTAGCACTAAAATTGTACACAATTGATATTCTATCTTCATGTTGTCGATGTTTTTTGCCTTTTCTTTCGTCTCGTACGTAAATAAAATAAATATTTCTTCTAAACTTTAATCATACATGATGATTTCATTAGTTAAAGAACAATCATCCTGAAGATTCTCATTTGTATGATTGTTTTAGATTCGATTGAATTTTTAAGTAGAACTATGTATCCAGTGAAACGAAAAATAAGTTTCGATGATTACTCGAACAAGGAAACAAACAAATTACAATGTAAATTTGATCAGAAAACGTAAGTTATAAAAAAACAAAAGAATTTCATTTTTAATATTAAATTATCATATAGAATACCAATAACGTCCATTGAAAATTTATCTACTGAAATATTCTATGAAATATTTGATTATCTTGATGGTTATGAAATTTATCAAGCATTTTCAAATCTTAATCATCATTTTCAACAAATAATTAATTCTTCATCACTTTTGTTAAAATTTAAAATTGATTCACCATCCGATCAATCATTTATGAACATATACAAGCAACTTACACTAATAAATAAACGTCAAATACTTTCATTTAATATAGAATTAACATACAAAAGTAGTGAATTATTTACATCATATTTTATTGATTCATCGTTAGATCATCTCGAATCTCTTGTACTTATAGAATTCGAAACAACCATACTTATTTCACTTCTTATGAAGTTAACTTATCTACCTCGTCTTTTTTCATTAACAATCTGTATGTTTGATACATGGGATGAATTAAGTGAAATCTATTGTTTAATTTTTGCTTTACCAAAATTAATATATATTAAATGTTCACCAATAGAAGTTGGCGTAGGTATTTCACTACCAATTGCTACTAATCAAAAATCCAATACGATCGAATATATTGTTATTGATCATGTCTGTACATTAGATGAATTTTGTGCTATCCTATCGTATATACCTCAACTTCGTCATTGCCATTTTAAAGAAGTATATGATGATAATCAGATAAATATTGATACTACAATACAAATTAAACTCTTTAATATAAAATGTATTTCTATGAAAGATTGTGAAATTGAATTTGATAGATTTGAACAATTAATTAGAAAAATCGGATGTCAATTACAAGTTTTACATGTTACTAATGAATGTGATAATGACAAATATCTTGATGCTAATCGATGGAAAACATTGATATTAGATTATTTACCTCATTTAAAAGAATTCTTTTTAAAATGTTATAAAGATGTTGAAAATAAATCTGCAATTCGAATAGATTTTGAACGTATTAAACTATTTACTTCATTATTTTGGATTGAACGAAAATTGATATTAGAAATGGAAGTTACTGATTTCCAAATCATTTATTCAATTCGTCCATTCAAGTATTTATAGATGATACTTTTATATTGAGTATATTTATTTATTTATTTATCGTTTAGAAAAAGATGGTATAATATCAATTCTTTTATAGACTTTTCTAAATCTACTCAATTAACTATGACATGTTTTCCTGGTGATGAATACTTCGAAACCTTCAGGAGTGCTAATGGTACTGTTTTACCAGTAGCAGAGATTTATCACTTGGAAACTTCTAAACAAACAATTATATCAGGTTCATTAATGAAGATTCTTAATGAATTACCTGAACTTGATTCATTAAAAATATTTCGTTTATCAATATCACAAATTCGATATTCATTTATTGATGATCAAAATTTTCGTTTGGTATCATATCAAAATAAAATTACAAAAGTTTATCTTGAAAATGTGAATAAAAGTGAAGAAGTTTATTTTCTTCTTAAACTTTGTCCACGTATGAAATATTTTAAAATGAATTTTATTTATAATATTGATTATAAATTATTTGTTAGAAATTTTTTAAGAATAATAAATAGTAATCGTCATCAATATCTTCAATCATTATATTTTCAAATATCAAAAATAAATATTCAAATAATTAATGAATTAGAAGAAATGATCAATCATGAAAAATTACTTCGTCATTTTACAATTAAGCATATACTTAATTATATTCATTTAGAATGGAAATTAATATAATAACTATTATGTTTTCTTTTTCATTATACTTTGAAATAAAACAAAACAATTAATTTTTTTTTTACACGAGATGTTCTCGATTAGATGATAATAGTAGTGATTCATTTTCTGATAGTTATCGTTAAATACTGTCAATGATGAATTGCTTTTTACATTAAAATATTCAATTTTCTTCTTTATTATGAAATTTTTTTTGTATTGATAACAATATAATAAAAAGTACGGAGAATAAATCAAGAAAAAAAAGAATTTTTATTTGAATAAAAAGAAACAATTGTGTAGTGCGAGATTTTTTGAATTTATCATTTTCAATGGATTTTCAGAAAACAGTTCAATAGGATGAAGTATGATAGCTGCTTTTACATATAATCTCCTAAACCAAAATGATTCAAAGATTGTAGATGTGGTTAAACAGAATATCAACATCTATACTCACATTCTTCTTGATATTATTAAAAGTACTGGTTATAAATGCAAGTTTTAATCCAGATTTGTGCAACTTTCTCGTAAACTTTAACGACATGGTTTAAAAAAGTTTTCGTTAAAACTTCAATGGCTAAAATATGTTTAATGGATACATGTAATCGACTTATTTACTAGTTAAATCAATGATTGAAATCATAATAAAACAGACGATATGAAATATAAATCAATAAGCCAAACAGAAATTAGAGCACAAAATAAATGAGACTAATGTTTTTTGTGAAAATTGATTATCTTTTGCAAACCAAAATAACGTTCACTAGAGATATTTTACTTAACCTATTTTGTATTAGTATATGCAGCTAAAATTTAATGACAATCTATTCTGATTGGTTTAGAAAATTTAGATATGATTGTTATAATAGAGATCGGTTCTAGTAAAAAGGAAAAAAGGTAGATAAATTAATTCTTGTTGCTATGTTTTCATTTTATGAATCGATATTTTTAGTCTTTATTGAGGGTGTGGGTATGGATGACAGAGAGAGAGTATATGATTCATCAACATATCCAAACAACATCTACATCCACACCAAGACTATGATAAGATATATCGTATTTTGAATGTGTTCAAGTAAATCAACATATAATTTTTCTAGATTCGATTCATTTATGAATGCTTGTTCAAATTGACGTCAATGTTCAATATTCATTAACTAAAATAAATAAAATAGATTTTTTTTTTGTGATATAATTGATATTTGCAAGTTTTCTTTTAATATACCTGCAGATACTATTTTTGACCAGCAATAAGAAATAAACGATTGTCTGATTCTTCAAAACGAGCACTGAAACCTGATAACATCAATAAAAACCTAAAAAAGTAAAAGATATACCATATTAACTATGAAAATTCATTTTGATATTTCATGGCGAAATTTATTGATTTTGTATATGATGGTTATCCCTTCGGATTGTCACAAAGAGTTTTTGTTTTTCATTAATGTTTTACTATTTATCTTTTCCAAATAAATTTTAATCATATATGTAAGTCTTGATAATTTTTAAAAAAGAAAACTAGGAAGAATATTTAACCATAGGCAGAAACAAAAAATAGTTCATCCAACAGCCCAAATACGACTTCACTCTATTTTACTCATAAGAATAAATTCAGAAAAATTCATGCTATTTTAATTCACTATTAAGTCATTAGTATGAAATTTCAATATAATTTCTTTTTTTTTCTTTAAAGATCAAGGATAAATGGTTTAAGTAAATACTTACAATGCATCAACAATTGTATGTAATAGATAGCTGAATAACGTGTATTAATTAAAGCACGAAAAAAAAGCAAAAACTGTATATGTAAGCGTTTGAGGATATAATTGTTATGTTGATGTAGCAAATTCTAAAACTATTTTATTCATTAAACAATCCGATAAACCAATATGTATGAAAGTAATAATGTTAATGAACATAATAAAAGGAAAGCTTCATATGCGGGAATGTTTCAACTCGTCACGTTATTTCTTGTCTGGCTTTCGTAACGAATTGACAGTACGAAAGCCCGTGACAGAGCTTTCGTAATGACAGAATCAGGGCTTTCGTAACAAAAAATCAGGGGGTTCGTAACAAATTTTACAGGGTGATCGTAATTGGTGCTTTAATATGTACCATTACAGAGCTTTCGTAACGAAAAGCATGTAATTTCTTCAAACTAAGTCCAGCTATCACCCTCATCCTCATTACGAACTCCGTGTTGCTTCGTTGCGAAAGCTCTGCAACTGTTATGAACTCCCTGTATTAATCGTTACGATCGCCCTGTAAATTTCGTTACGACATCCCTGTATTTTTGGATACCCCTATTTTTGGTGTTACGAAAGGTCTGATTTTTGCTTTTTGTTCAACTCGTCACGTGACGAGTTGAAACGTTCTCTCATATGCTAATGTTGATGATTGTTTCGTACGTTTATATCATTCTTCAACAAGTTCAATAAGAATATTATCTGATGATGATATTATTGATGAACTATCAATTATCGTTTGTTCATTATTTAATGAATTTGTATTTTTATTTGGTCGTTGTAATAATGTATAAATAATATATGGGACAAAAGTTCGCAACATATCAATATATTTTTGCAGCTACGCGAGCAATTTTAATAAATGTTCCTTTATCAATTGTAGAGCTTGTAGAGCTTTTCACGCTCCATCTTGTGGTGTATTTTATTTTTTTAATAACATGCATTAGGTAATGAAAAAAATGAAATGAATTATATGTGTCGAAAAATAACGATATTTTCATAACGTCGAAAATCGGTCGCATAGAATTTTGCTTTCTTTAAAACAAAAAGTGCACAATTAAAATGAGCTGTAGTTTGCAGATTGTAGAGCTTTTCATGCTGCATCTTGTGACATATTTTGCTTTTTAATACAACATATTGAGTGATGAAAAATTGAAATGCCAAATACGACCGTGTAATCTGCTCCACCCATTATTTTTTGAGAACCAAAAACACATGTAACAAACTTTCGTTACTAACTCTCTTAGTTCTTGAGCTAGAACCTTTATTTTTACGCAGTAAGTACACTTTTAAATGCTCTTTAAAATGACTATTTACTGATTGAAATTGCTCAAACAGTTGCAAAAATACATCGATAGGAAAAATGAAGCGAACTTTTGTCCCAGGCTTCACGTGAAAGTATTAACACCATATATCATTTTTGGGATATTGACCAACTATTAAAAGTTTTTCAAGTCTAATTGATATAATTTTTTGTGTTAAATTATTATCTTTAATTAATGATAATCAAATATCATATGAATTTAAATCAACTTCATGACTTTCAAGTAAAAAATAAACATGATGCATATGCATGAATTTTAGTTAACTTAAAATCGTGTTCAATTAAACGTAGATATAATTCATTATATTCTTTTGTTGTTTGTCCAAGTAATATACCAGATTTACATAAATTATAACTTATTAAGGATATCATTAAATCATCTTCATCAAACCATGTACAAAAATATTCATCATATAAATTTGATAAATGTTGTGATGATGTCAATAAATCAGATAGATATATAATTGAACCTATTAATTCATATTACATATATTTCAATTAGAATTTGTAATGATGATGTTAAATCAAAACCATGATGAAAAAATAATCGATCAAATAAACTCTAAATTGTATATTTTTAAAGGTAGATGCCAGCAAAGAAAATATTCATACTCTAATTTTTTGATTGATAGAATAGATTTGAAATTATTGATATAAGCTTTTATCTATATGAAATAAGATAGTTTGCATGTATTATATATCAAATCAAAGTCAGAGAAACACTAGATTTTCCAAGGGGGAAACGGCGGATTCCCGGGATTCCGAATCCCAAGGGAATCCCATGGGAATTCTGGGAATCTTGGAAATCCTGGGAATCCAATGGGAATCCAGGGAATCCCGGGAATCCCACGGGACTCCTGTGCCTAAGAGTCATCAATAGATAAAGTAATCATCAAAAATAAACAGGCCAAACATACTAGTGATGACAACGATGACGAAGAAGTTGACTCAGAACTTGGAGAATTAGAACAAGACTCTCAAAATCAAGGGGGAAACGGCGGATTCTCGGGACTCCCAAGATTCCCACGGAATTTCCAGGATTCCCGGGATTCCCACGGGAATCCCGTGGGAATCCTGGGAATCTTGGGAATCCGGAATCTGCCGTTTCCCCCTTGAGAGTTTCTCTTTGATGAAATTAATAATTTAGCAATGAATTTATCTTTCTTTTAACTTAGAGTTCTATTTGTCGATTATTAAAACATATGTGAGACTTACATTAACTGATAATGGTAATGTATTATTACTTTGGATTGATGTTCATATAGTATCATATGAAAGTTGTCCATAGGATAATAAATCACGTGTACCTAATCGTTCAATATTTGTAAATAAATTATTTGAACTTGTATCTAATGTTGAACATGTTTGCATACATTGACTACCGATAAAAAAAGAACAGACAAAATCTAGTTTATTTTTCAATCTTGTTACTATTGTATTGCATTTATTTCTAAAGTTTCTTGTTTTTTTTTTAAATTATTTGTTGTTTGTTTATTTTCATCATTACATTGATTTGTAGTGAATTAATTGAAGCTAAAAATGAAGCTTATATTTCTTGAAATTGTACTCTTAATAATCAACCAACTTCAAAATTGTCTTTATATAAATATTGATAAACAAAATAATAATATAACTATACAATGTAAATCATGTCAATAAATATATGATTTATATATTTAGTTTTTCTTGTTAAATAAAATAAAGTAATAATTGTATAAATGAACTATTATCTGGTTCAATTAAATTTGAATATGATTATAATAATTGATTTATTTATTTGATAAGTTAAACCCATGTCGTTGATAAAGATATTTAAATATTGATAAAAGTGTTTTCGATAACGTACAACATGATATTATTTGATCTATTTCACAACTAAGAAATGATGTTTTTTTTTGAAATTTATTTATATAAATTTTTTCTAATATAAATATTATAAAACGTAATAAATCATGTATATCACCTGTTGAAAATTGACATGTTAATTCAACATAATTTTGTATTTTATCAAAATACATTGATATAGAATCTATGCATGTAATTGAATATGGTTGATTATTAGAGCATGATAAAAGACTTTTTTCATAAATTGTATTAGGTGTTGTTTCAACATCATTTTGATTTGTTTCATTTGATATTAATCGTTCTGTTGATAGAATACTAAGGATAAGACAATGAAGCATCTGAGATACACCCCTGGGCAAAAGTCTTCCCCCCCCCCCCCCCCACCTCTTTTTTCGGCAAGATTTTCTCTGCTATTATAAGGACAAAACATGGTGTTGTTCGGGCTATATAAAAGAGGACCCTAATACCCCCTAATCGGCCCGAACAACACCATGTTTTGTTCTTATAATAGTAGAAAAAGCCTCGCTGAAAAAAGAGGTGGGGGGAAAGACTTTTGCCCAGGGGTGTAACTATACAAAATCCTAGGAAAACAAAAAAAGAACAGATTTATATTGTTTCTTATTTTCTCAAATTAATTTTCATTTACTATAAGAATCATCCTAAAAATGTAATGCTTCGGAAAAAACCTAATACGTTTTCGGAGTTCACGATTTCAAACTTATAGAAAGTTTATCGAAATTCTCGAATGCAATTTATTTCGAAATATTATTTTCGGTTGCAAATAAATAACAATCGAAAACATCTTACGAAATATAATATTAGAAAGACGTCGTTTTCTTTAATTGTAACAGTACAAATAGCACGACTGAGAATTTGATCAATAAGATTCGAGAGGAATTATTCGGTCATTGTACTAATGTAGCTTAAATACTTTTCTTTACGATTTGTATTACCTGAAATTCTGCATATTTTGTTTCTTATCTATATCGTTAAAACTCGTTCTTCTTGATATGTAAGTACATTAGATCGACTAGTTTTCTATTTCAAAATATTTTTCGAAGTTTTGAATTATTCAAAAGTCTCATCTATTACTAGCACATAAACAATGTCAAAGTAAAAAAAAACATTTCTTTTAATTGGATTAAAATTTTTATTATACATATATATATATATTTATTTCGATAAATGAAACTAAAATATACCGGTGACATCATAAATGGTAATCATTTTTTATCAGTTACATTTTTAAGCATTTGTTCATAAATTTTTCTTGTTATATCCATAGGACAATTAAGATTATTAAAATCTTCTTTAATAATATCGATTGATATTGTTATTGATAATATTTATAAAATTCATGGTATATATTTAGGTCATAATTGTTTATTTAATGTTTGTTGGTCAAGTGTTAACATCATTTCAATACGATCATAAACAATTAATTCAACTAAACGTAATACAGATATATATGGTAATGGAAGAAATTGTTCAATTAATAAAACTAATACAAGACCATTTTCATCTAAATGTATTCATTCACAAACGAATAAATGACCTGAAACTGATGTACGATGTGTAAGACCAAATAAATTATGTACATTTATTTATCACTTTGCTCAAATAAAAAAAAATTGATAATGTGTTGTTATTGATGTAAAATGTTCAACATATAATTCATGATGACATATTAAATCACAATAAGATTGTAATTGACCATTTATAGATAAATGTATTCTTAATGATGATGATGTTAATATCGGTGATTACCATGCTTCTTGTGTATAATCAAGCATATTAAGAATATGTGTCCATTGTAATAATAATGAGATATAAAATGATGATCGTAATAATTTAAAACATTCACTTAAAATAGTTAAATATAAAAATGTATCAAGACGATGTATAGTTTCATCATGAATTCATAATTGATGAAAATCATTTACAATTGTTCGAAATTGTTTAGCTAAAATAAAATCATAGATCTTATAAAAACATAGGCATTTTAAAGTCAAATGTTTTTCGCTAGCTCATTAGTAATTAATGAATTGCAGAAAAGTTTTATCTTCAAATTAATGGGTAATATGTTACTATCATATAGATTACGATGAAAGCTTAAGCTCTTTTGACTTTGATAGAAACCAGTTTTTATGTGTTCAGTTAGTCCATAATATACATAAGTACATAAAGATAATCGGATGCAAGAGAAACTAATGTCATATTGATTTGACCACATAATTGTCGAGTATTTGTTAAAATTCATAATATTATGTCATGTAAAACACGAAGAAGAGTTCTGGAAACAAAAACGAGAATAATAGTTTTTAAATTATAAATAAAATCATTTCGAATACTAACCCACTAAAAGTTTCATCTCGTGTTTCATTAACTGATGATAAAACATCATTCTATCGTGTTAATATAGCATCTTCAGTTAAATTTTGTACAAGACATCGACGTATTATATTTATATTGATTAACTATCGATTTGTAGATTGACAATTGACGTTCTAAAAAATTTTATAAATAAAAACAACGAACATTTCTATTTACTAATGCTCGAAAAGCAATAACCAATGGATCAATTGGTCGTAATTCAACTGATGACACAACATCAAAGAATGTTAGTTATGTGGAATAAATATCCAAAAGTGATTGATTCTATTTGAACAAAAAAAAAGTAGCGTAAAATCAGAGACTATTAAAAGAAAAATAACCTGAGATTGCAAATGAGCAAGAAGTAAATCGACAATTTGTCGTGAAAGACGTTTCCATTTATCATCTTCAATTTGAACACTATTAACAATAACTGTTAACAATTGTAAAGCCTATAACAATATAAATTCGATTATTATTTTTTTCAGTACATACACATGATATGAGAAGATACTTGTATTTATAATAATTAAGACGCCTAGTTTTCCTTCAAACTCCAATACATAACTGAAGATTACTGTCTCTAGATCTTGTTGAGTTCTGGACATCAACAAGGTGATTATTTTCAGATCATCGATTCGTTGAAGTGTGGGTGTGGGTTCAATCGAGGAGAAAAATTACATCTACACACCCACACTCACACTCTCATTTAATAAAACTTTTTAGGAATTTTAATTATTCGCATAACTCGAACAAAAAAAATCATATAAAACTGCTTTTAATGTTGCCAAAGCTAAATAAAGAATTTTAACGATAATTTATTTTTCTCGAAAATGTTTTTTTTTGCTTCCTACTATGTGTTTCAGGTTCGTGTCCACTTGCTAATAATGAATCATAATGTTTTATTAAATCTTGTATTTTAATAACTCGTTTTGAATGAAGTGTATCATGTGATAACATTACAAGAAATTCAGCAATACAATAAATAAAATACTATTTAAAAATAAACGAAACGATTAGAAATGCAACGAATTTCATCAGCTTCTAATCAACTATAATTAACACGAGTTAAAAGTAATTGAACAAGTAAATCGAGTACAGCAGCTTGAAAATCACTTTCACTTCTATTAATATATTTTTTAAGACTAATTTTATAGTTCAATAAAAACTAAAATAGAAAACAAAAACAACAGAATAGGTCAAATTCATTTTTTTGTTTATTTTACTCTCGTATTGCACTATTTATACTTGATGCATAACATGAACCAAATAAAATAAATTATCGATTGTCGAATACTTATCGTATGAATATAAGTTAAAGAATTATTTAATAATACTTGTGAAGAAACACTTGAAGATTTAATAAAAACTAAATTAAAAGAATATTTTTAAATGAATGTTGTGTTAACAGAAAAAATGATTTTCAAATTTCGAATTGATAGCATTTCTTGCAGATCGCTCACGTAAACTAGATGATTTAATATTCGAATTTCAAGATAGAATCGAATCAAAAGATCTGACACTTTCACAACAAAACTACTCTTGTTAAGATCATCGATATTTGTAAAATCAGTTTTTCTATTACTATGACATTCTTATATTGAAATTTTCCTTCTCTAGGAAAGACCCTTTCAGAAACCTTCATTATAAGATTTCCATCTAAAGTTTTATTCATAGACAAGTTCCCGACACAATACAACATCCTAAAGGTTTTAGCTTAACCCGATGAATAAAAAAGATTAATAATTGAAATTTTCTTTACAATAAATATTTATTATTTAGAAGAAGTTACCTCTTGTGTATATTGAATGTTGATTCAAAATAATTAAATGTTTCTTTCAAATTTTTTTGATAAATCTTGTGTAGAAATAAGACTTAAAACTGATTTCATAGACAATAATGATCATTTCTGATGAGTTTAATAAACTTTTATGTATTTGATATGATGAACATATTAATTCGAATAATTTCCAAAAGTACCTAATTGTGTATGATTAACTTTTTTATCTTTGTCTGTGCTTGATATTGTTGATGAATCTTTATTATTCTCTTTAAAAAGAAAAACAAATGAATTCATTCAGACGAAACATGATCAAATATATTCTTCAAATCTAAAACATTGGAACTCTCTTCTTCTGTGAAAACTGAAATATCAACTATATTCTGTCTAAAAGAATGATGATTGTGAATATTTTTGCAATAGTTCGAGAACGATAATAAAATACTTCATTTTTCGAATTACTTGAATCATTTGTGCTACTTTCAAAACATTTTTTCATTTGTTGAGATTTGATAAATCTCCAAAAAAAACATAATAAATATCTTTTTTTTCTCTTTACTTGAAAAGATTAAATTATTAAGATCATGTAATATAAAGGGATGTTTAAAAAAAATTATAAATAAACAAAGTTCATCATATTGATTAGGAAAAAATTGGTCGAATTGTTGTTGATCTTAAAACATTTGAAAGAACATAAATATCTTCTAAACATCCAACCTATATAAAAGACAAAAATAACAAACAATTTGTATTCGAGTTGATGCTTAAACGTGTAATGAATGATGAATTTTATATATCCATTGACATGGTAAAAATGAATTGTGATCAATAAAACCTTAAAATCAAAAAGTAGCTAATAACTAACTTAATTCAATAAAATCGACTTATTCATTCAAATTCGAAAAAAAGCTACCTAGTTAATATCTCTACAAAATACATACTTAGCAAAAGTCGAAGCAATTGCTTGACGAACACGTATATCAGGGTACTGTTGTTTTAATTGTTGTTCAAGATAAGTTAATATTCGAAAATCAATATCATCTATAAATTGAGCTAGACTAACCTATTTTATATACATACAAAAAAAAAATTATTATAATCATAAATTTCTTTTATCTACTTCAGCAAGAATACAGGAACTTGTAGTATGTTGAATAGAATCTTCTAATAATTTAATTCCTATGATTGTAAATGCATGACTATTAATTAATAAAAAAAGGTAATAATGTTCCTAAAGCATTTAGTGAAACATGTATAACACGTGCATTATTATCATTAAGACATATAACCTTGAACTGTCTTGTGAATCAATTGATATAAGTGAACATTAATTAATAAAAGAATTATTAAATGAATTTGATAATGATGATAGTGTTAAAAGATGATTTGTTGTTTGAATTAATGTAACAAGTAAATTTGCACATGCACCACGTAAATGTAGATCACCGTATTCATATAAAGATAAAAGATATGTAATATCTTAAAGAAAAGAAAAAAAAAGATACCTTGATATTCGATAAATTTTAATGTATTTTAAGTCATATAGAGATGTGAATTTCATTTTTTCGTTTAGAGAATTCAATTTTAATTACAAAATTATATCTAATCAGAAATCTTCAAAGACTAAAGAAAAACTTCTTAGAGGATACAATTGATTTCATATTTCGAACTTCGGCTTAGAACTTTTTTGAGGTAGTTGTGTGATTGTATAATTTCAATCTCTGATGTATAAATGCCGGCTTTGAGCTTCAATAAAATGTTCTACTTGATATCTTTTCGAGTCTGATAATGTTCTAGTCTTTTGTTGGTTTCAAAAAAATTAAAAGTAGGAATAGGACTAGAGCTGCTGAATCCATATTGAGAAATCTCCGTTCTTGAATTTTCAGATTCCAATATATATGTCACAGTTGACATGAGAATTTCAGTTGAGTTTGGAATGCGCGAAAAAAAATATAGAAAAAAAAGAGAAAACAAAATTAAATATAAACATAGATTTGAAGATAGAAAAAAGAGAGAGAGCATAAAAAATAAAATCTTTCTTTTTTTTCATCAATAAATCTATTTGATTCAAATTGAATATTATTACAATATTATGAATGGATTTTTATAAAAGATTTATAATACTCATTCTTTTTTCATTTTACAAAAGAATATTTCATTTTCGTTGTATTCGTAGGGCTATATATAGTTGGTATTTATAAAAATTGTTTTGATTAGTATTAATAAATGAACAATTCATAAAATTTTACATTTGAAAATATTTTTATCTATGAAATCTGTGTGACAACCTCAAGATAGTCTATTTTATATTTTCTTATTAGAGGTTCGTTTCTACGAAACGAAGATTCAGTCCTATGGCTATGTCAACTTTTCTAATTAAGTTATTTCATTTATTGTTTGATTTTTAGCTTATCAAATTTAACTTTATGAAAATATTTATTTCGAAATTAAAGTCATACATCAACAATGTTGATGAAAAAAAAGAGAAAATATACGATTAACAATGACATGTGTTCCAAAATGATTAAAGTTTTAAAACGTGAACATATAGCTGTGTCTCCAAAATTTAAATTCTGGGTTCACCATACATTCTGTTTAATGGAAATCGGATTAAACGAAGTGATATATAATAAAAAATCTAATTTTCCATTGATAACACAAGAGAACACGTGCGAGAAGATTAAGGATTGTCATACAGCCGTCGGTCATTCTATTAATTTACTTTGGAGCCATTTTTAAATTTCTTTTTCATTTAATTAGTTCGGTTGACTTATTTCACACTTGAACTAATCTTGTTGATCTAATACCTCACATCTTCCTTCTTTAGCGCACCATAAAATTATTCATCAATTCCAACACATATTCCATAAACTTTTTATCTCACTTTAAATGAATCGATCTGAAAACTTACTTTTATATCATTTACGCCCACACCATTCACCATCATCTTAAACAAAAATTGACTATTTTGACTTGATGTATCATTATATATGACTAGTTATTCCATACAAAAAAAAAATGATTAGTATCATCCAATATTTAATAAAGCTTTAGAAAAATATCGCCTTTTCACATGCCAAGTCAACTGCTCGGAACTTTTAAACAATTCAATTGATTCATTCTGCATTACAAAAATACTTTATCCAGTTCCTATATTTTAAACTAACATCCAATAAAATTATTTTTTGAAATAAAAAAATCAAATCCGATCAGTATTTAAAAAAAATTATTTTTTACAATCTACCAAATATTAAACAATGAGAAAAGCCTAACTAAATATTAAATTATCTTTTACATCTGAAATTCGATTCTTCTGAATTTAATTATTATCCTACTGATCGACTA